CTCAGAGTTGGTTATAGACTCTCAGAGTTTGCTGTTCCTTTTGATGTCTCAGAGTTAGTTAGAGACTCTCAGAGTTTGCTGTTCCTCTTGATGTCTCAGAGTTAGTTATAGACTCTCAGAGTTTGCTGTTCCTCTTGATGTCTCAGAGTTGGTTATAGACTCTCAGAGTTTGCTGTTCCTTTTGATGTCTCAGAGTTAGTTAGAGACTCTCAGAGTTTGCTGTTCCTTTTGATGTCTCAGAGTTAGTTAGAGACTCTCAGAGTTTGCTGTTCCTCTTGATGTCTCACAGTTGGGGTTAGACTTTCAGCCAGAATTTTCTGTTCCTCTTGACACCGTGCACTGTGAAGGTTAGTAGGCTTTGTGCTCTGGTGTAACCCCACACGTTCATCTGCTTAATCGTACCGCCATTGACACCCACAATGGGACCTGTACATTTGTGTCGCTCTTGGGTGTGATGGGACCTGGATGGGCCAGAAGCAGAAGGCTAAGGGGCTCTGAGGTGAAGGACATTGGGCATCTTGGATGATGGACATTGTATTTCCTGTTGGGTGAATTCCTTAGGGGTTAGGAAGAAAGGGAACAATGGTATCCCAGTAGGTACTGTCTGAATGGGTGCAGAGGTTTCACTCCTCCCGTTGTGCAGGGGGTGGGGTTACAGTGGGTTAGAGAAGCTGGTCTGTCAGACTGTTAAACTCCACTATGGCGTGAGAACATCTGGATCCTTGCTCTGTTGGCTTGTCCAGCCCTGTGGTCTGTGACATCTTATGCAATCTTTTACATTGTGCTGGTAGGCGGTCGGAAATTCATATTTCACATTAATATCTCAGTTGTATCGTAGAATCCGGGAGAATGTTGTAATATTTCCTAAACGGCTCCTTGTGGGAAATATATCTTGGCTGCTGTTTTCAGCACTGAACTGAACTGGGTGTGGTGTCATGCTCTGCTGTCTGTGAGGTTGCTCTGGTCCCCCCTCCACAGTTAGTGATAAGGACTGACTGTGACTGTGGGGGGTGCCTGTAGGGTTTGTGCTGTGTCGGTTCTCTGAGGAGCTTGTTTCCATCTGTTCCCCTGAAGTGCCAGGTCACCGTGTCTTGAACCTGTTGGTGCTGTGTGTCTCTGCGGTCTCCATGGTCTGGGGCCCCAGCGAGACCCTCGGAGATCTTTCTTGGCACGAGTCCTGCTATGGAGCTTAGTTTAGGAGACCCTGTGAAATGTGGACTTGCACAGATGATGGACAACCTCTGAAGGACAACAACTGACAACCTCACTTCTAAAGCGTGGCTAATGTCAAGGAAGCTGTGGAATGAATAATGACTGGTTAACTCCCCCATGATGCCTAGACTCCAGACACTGACCCCCTCCCCCCCCCCAACAAGAACATTTGTATTCATAAAGCCATACAGTAAAGTTATGTTTAGTTCTGGAACTATGATGAGGGACCGTGTGACCTCCTGGTTATACCATGTGACCTCCTGGTTATACCATGTGACCTCCTGGGAAGGAGGACCAGCTCTGAATGACTTTAGCTGTAGGAAATCTGTTACTGTTGTGTGTGTCTGATCCATTCCCAGCTATGGGGGGGAGGGGGTTCCATACTGACTGCCTTCTATGGGGGAGGGGTCGGTTAGCTGTGTCCCTCCAGGGGTTCTTCCTGTATGGAGATGTACAGCTGTGGGACAGGCTGTGGGACTGGGGGCATCCTCCTCTCTATCCTCATACTTGAGATACATTGCAATATTTATTAAACAAAAAGGAGATTAAATTACCCAAAATAAATTATAGCCAAATAGAACTTATTATCTATGCAAAGCAGTGCCGGCAAATGTGATGTGATCAAAGCGCCTGCACATGATGTATGACGCAGCCCTGAAATGATACAGGCCTTATGCATGGTCCCCTTATTACAGCTCTCAGTGTTTATGCTGATATTCTCATTGTTATTCACTGAGGCAGTTTTGGTTATGAATGAATGAGGCCTCTCAAAGCAGTGCCCAGTCCCTGCGTATACACACACACACACACACACACACACACACACACA